TATTTTCACTGGCGATATTTAAGCAAAAATTAGAATATGCTGGTCAGAATATCTTTGTTAAAACTGGAAGTGGAAATAGAATCCACAGTCCTCAATATCCCTTCCAGCCTCACGTTCCTTTATTTCAATGTGCTCCACAAGAGTGATACACAGAAGAGGAGAAGCTAGGTGACAGTAAGGTCATGTTAGTCCTGTTATTAGGACTAACAGTGTACCAACCCTGGTACTGGACCCTGGAAGGTGACCATTAGAAAATAGCTAGAAATAGCTAATACTTTTATAATGCAAGGCAATTATTTGCCCTTTCTGATGTCCGACTTCTCTTTCACAGGTAAATAATAACAGTATCTCCCTTTCCTTGCACAAGCTGTACAAATATAAATCCTTTCCTGCTTTACATGTCAATCTTCTGTAAAAAAAATAAAATAGCTTTGACTGTTTTTTTGAATTCTATTAATATTTTCTGAGAATTTCCAAAGGGATTCTGCTAGAAGATTTTTGGTGGGAATTATACAAGACCAAAGTTTGTGTACATGGCCCAGTACTTTACCAACTCTCCATGCTGGTCATTCACGTTGCAAATTCAAGATTCAGCTGCCAACTATTCACATCCTGCAAGGTAATTGTCCTTCAACCAGTTCTGCTTCACAGGCTTATTCCATCCAAGTGGTACCTAAATTTCAGATTATTCCTCCCAAGATTTTTATGCTGAAAGTACCTAATTTTTTTATCTTCCCTATATATTTTTTTTATCTCCCCTTTTCTGTAGTCCACTTGTGTTATTTACTATGGTCCAACTTCTGCACACTCTGATACAGGATCTGCAAATGTAAAATGTGATGGTCCGATACCTTTGAGTGGATATGATACATACCACAATGGGATCTATAAAATTTGGATTCTAAGTTGTCTGGTATATTGACTGCTTATAAACATAGAACTGACTGTGATTCATGGTTTCATTAGTGTTCAAATATTTAGAAAATGTTCTGGTTTAGTTACTAAGGCTAAATATTTATCTTGTAGATAAGAACTGTTGCTGTTACGTCCTTTCTGGATGGCAGTACCATGTTAGGTTCCCTTTTTTTCTGCATGGTACCCAATTCTTTAACACTCATCAAAAAAGCAGCAAGTCAAACTTCTGCAACATTTTAACAGTCACATTGCTTTTTATTTTACAATAATCATTACCCTACTGATATTGTTTATATTTTGTTGCTATTTATAATTTTATTGCTAATTTCCTTTTCTCACTTTGAAATGTACTTTTAACAGAAGCACTATCAATTTAAGGCTCTTAAAGATGAATGATTATTTTTCAATGTGTTAATCATCTTACACTTTCAAGAATACTTCAATTAAATGAAGCTCTTCCTTCTGTGTTAAGCTATGATGACTAACAGTTTTACTTTATCTTGCTCCCTCGTGGCCCCACGGGCAAACCACAGCAGCCAGGGGACACTAGAGCTTCCTGCAGAGCTGCCTGGACTATGCCGAGTCCTTACTCATAGTGAGGTGTCCAGTGCAGATCAGATAGTGGGGAAGGAGGAGATGGCTTTCCAAACCTGCTTCTCCTTCCTGCAAATTTCTAGTTTTTCTTGCCCACATAAGAAAAGGTCAGTATAAAGAAAAAAAAAAACAAAAATAAGATTTTTTTTCTAGTACAGGGATATTTCTGACACTTGAAGTTACAAATTTTCTAGTTAATTAGTGGCAACAGCATTACCTAGTGGTCATGGAAAAATGCTGTCAAGAAAAGCTTCAACATAATAATTTAAAATATTGATGAACATACCTTTATTTGTTGTATATGAAAAGAAAAGGACCCACAGGGTATACAGTGCAGCACTTGGGAGTCTTGCCATTATTGACAATTGTCAGTTTCAGTAGGAAACACTGTGCTGCAATTCTGCCAACAGAAAACATAATAAGCTTACATCCCTGTCTCTGTTATGGTAAAAGTATAGTTTTTCCTACCCTCTGCTAGATGTTAGAATTCAGACCCCCTGCTGTACCCATTTTCCACCTCTGACCCCTAAAATGAGCTCATGGAATGAGACATATGGAAGAATAAGGAAAATACAAATGAGCTAGAAGACTTTTCTGCAAAATTTTAATTACAGAGGATACGGGACTGACATTGGCAATGAACCTACTCTCTTTAGTTACCAGAAAAGTTGCTGGTATGTGAAGGCTAAAAAAGGACAAGCACTAGACCAAAGTCAGTGACATTGTCACCAAAGCCCTATGATTCCACTCAGATAAGTAAAAGAATTTAAGAATGAAGTCTCCAATCTATTGACTAAAACGTTTTCCCCAAGTCCCATCACCAGTGCCTTGATAATCTGAGTATCACCCTCTTAAAAAAAACCCAAAAACTAGCAAAGAACTCTGAGTATTGGTCCAACAGAATGCAGATTCATTAAAACATCAAATAATTAGAAGTTGTAAAACGCATACCTAATCATGATATAACCAGACCAACTTTGGAGAAGGAAAATAATGCAGCTTTTATGTCCCTAAGCATAGCAAAACTGTCCAAGTAAATAAAAAACAGATAAAATAATTAATTTCAGACTTAAAAATAGCAAGTATCCCCAAGATTTTTTCACCTCTACACCTAATGCAGCTACTTCATGCCTAAGATAAGGTGACCAGCTTTCATATCACTAGAAATGGATGTGATCCATTTAAAAGTCTGACAAATTTGTACGTGAAGTCATGCTAGCTAATATGCTTTTGGCTTTGCTTTCAGTATAAAGAGGGATGAAATTGGGTCAGCAGCACATTGTTAAGACACAATCCTTTGGTTGCTTCCTCTTATGGTTTTGGAATTTTCTAACTTTCATGTCTGCAAGCTTCAGCTGTTCTGTTTATACCTGTAGGGCTCCCAGGTAGTACACTAGTTTTTATTTCAAACCCTGATGATTCTCTCAGTGTGATAAAGGGAAGGGAAGGGGAGGGAAGGGAGAGGAGAATCTCCTTCAGCAGGTGAATGGTGTTGGGTGTTCTGCAGAAGCCTGGTCAGATTCTGAAGTAGAAAAGGCCACCAAATGGTATTTTTGGATGGCGGTTCAAGATTCTGGTCCCCAAGCCAACCATGCAGCAGAACCACATTTCATGTGTCTGACAGAGGTGAGTCTGTCTGTCTGACTGACTGAAAATATCCATCCTAGAAGTTAAGGGATAAGGACATTGTTAGTGAAAATAGAAGATCAGAATGGACACTCTTATGTGACCTTCTCTGGGGCAGTTACTGTTCATCTAGTAATAAAAGATAAACCTGAAAGACAAATTTATCATAAGAGCTTGAGAAAACTATTACTCGAGCTCAATTTTTCATATCCTGAGAATAGACGAAATGTGACTAAGCACAGTAATACTTTTTTTTTAAAGAACACAAGCACCTTTGGTGCTGCTCAGAAAAAAAGAGCCAACTGCTCTGGCATTAAAAAAAAAAAAAAAATAAAAAAAATCCTTCATTTCCCTTTTTCCCAGAATTCTCGAGAAAGGAAGCAGTTGCTTTCCACTGTTAGGTAATACTGCCACATGACTGGAATTCCAAGAAACTCTCAGAACTCTTAAAACTTTGGCAGAGAATCCTGAACCCTGTAAGCATGATGAACAGATGGCAGACCAAAACCATCTTCTCATGGAAGAATGGATCTGCACATGTGCATGGAAGTGGAGTTAAGCCAGAGCTTTAATGAAACTGCAAACAGAGAAAATTTTAAAACATCCACAGGTCCTCTGCCTGTTACCTCTTAAGTTTTTCCTTATACCGGACAATGACATAACAATCTTAAAAAAGTATGCAACACATATAGACAATACTAAAATTGCAGCAAACCTAGAAACTCTGATATATTTGAGGAAAGTAAATTGTAAAGACATAAGTCACTTCCCCAAAACTAGGAAAGAAATCTCCGTCTGGGTTAGAAGCAGATCTACATGATTACTGGCACAAGCTACATGCTTTGACCACTTAACTTTTCTGTTTCTTGAAAAAAATATGATGTGATTAAAATTATTTCATTCATTATCAAGAAAAATGGTACTAACTTTTGGTCTGGTCTTCCAAGGAAATTAGGGACACATTTCATTAACAGGTGTAATCTGCGAAACTGTTATGCAAGAAGAGAAACTCCTGCCCAAACCAAGAGGTCAGATATTAAATAAGACTGCTTAATGCACCGTTGCTGCAATTGTACAGCTGAAGTATAACTCCCTGTTTAAAACTGCCTCTTTTTAAAACTGAGACACATCTTGTCTTGCTTTCTAGCACTGGCTATAAACGCTGAATAAAATGAGAAAAGCGGCACAGGGCAAAGCAAAAGGTTCACCAACAGCTTCTGTATCAAACCTTGAAAAGAAAGCTTGTGGAGAGCGCAATGCCTTCTGAGGAGAAACCGCCCCTTTCCGGGCGCTCAGCACGAACCGCTCCGAAGCTCTGTGGGCCTCCGGGCACACGGGGGGCGCGGCCCGAGCCCGGGGCTGGGCACGGCCGGGAACGGCTCCAATCGGGAATACGGCCCCGGGACAGGCGCGGCTGCCGCGCCCACCGGGCAGCACACCCGGCGGGAGAAACGCTTCGGAGAATTACACCACTTTTATCTAAAATATTGTAAAAGGAGCACTCGAGTTTAACAATCTCAAGAAAAGATGAGCGATTCTGCCCGCGGGCTCCAGCCGGAGCCGCCGCACGGGACGGGCCCCGGGATCTCCGCCCAGCCAAGCTCCGGAGGAAGCACGAACCTTCCGCACTTCCCAGAACAGGCAGGCAGAAAAAGACAGACCACACGAACGGCGCGCCAAGCGCAAGTAACGAGAAGGAGCCGGTCCTGACGCCAGGACGAAGGGCCGCGGACGTACCTTGTCTCCACCAGCCCCCAGAACGGGCTCCGGACCGAGGACACGGCGCTGTCCCGGGCCCGGCCCGAGGCCTCCAGCCCCCACCCCCCGTCCGGGGCGGGGCCAGCGCGGGCCGGGGCGGGGCCGGGCCGGGGCCTGCGCGGGGCGGAGCCATCTGTGGCAGGCGCGCGCAGCCATCGCCGAGCTGGTGAGCGTGGGCCGGTGCGGGGGCAGCCGGGCGGGGGTGGTGGTGGTACCGCGGTGGGAGCCCCGGTGAGCACCAGTGTGTCCCGGCAGGGCCGAGGGGTAGCGGGTCGGGCGGTTTTTCGGGCCATTGTCTCCGTGGGCTGCGGCTGGCCCGGGGCCGCGCGGACGGCGAAGCGGCAAGGCCAGAGCTCAGCCAGAAGCGGGCGGTGGGGTAGTGCAGTGGTCAGAGAATTTCCTGAGCTGCCTTTAATTACTTCAGGCTTTCTTCGAAACCTGTAGAGGATTATCTTCTGTCCGAAGTCACCCGCTCTAACTGCTGTGCTCAAGTCAGGCTGTGTGGGGAGCAGGAGCTTTATCTAACGTAGAATGACAGACGGTGTTGTGTTTGTCCCCCAGCACGGTTATTTCCAGCTTTGGGGACGGTGGTGTTGTGGATACCGGAGGGCGGGTGGCGGTTAACGGAGCATTAACGGAGGGTTAGCGGGACGTTGAGCGCTCGCTAACTCCCGTTCCTAACAAGTCAAACCGCCCCAATCCAGCTCAGCAATATACTGTGCAGCTTCGACGAAAACTACACCGGATGGAGAAGACCACTGTCAAAGTTTAGAGGCCCAGTGAACACCATGGGTGCCTAAAGATCCTCCAAGAGCACCGTCTGAGACTAACTGTGTACACTGAGTCATTCCCTTTTCTATCCAGTGCTGCAATAAAGTATTGCTTGCTTCTTAATACTACCTTGGTGTTAAAAGAAGGAGTTTTATCCCCGATTTTGGGTGACAACAACACAATGCATACCATGTTCTTTTCTGTAGCTAAAACTAGTTGGACTTTTATCTCTTGCACCCTTCCATAACCTCAGAGCTGGCCACCCTCTGCATTCTGAGGACGACCTTGGGATCTGCTTTTTTTGCCCTCATCCAATGTAGTAGACTTTAATTGAAATCTTGTGTACACTTGGACTATTGTACTCTAAACTTGCATGAACACGTGCATTAATTCCAGCTTAAACCTCCTGCAGCACTTGAAGCCTGGTGAAACACTGAGATGGCAGCTCAAATGACCGATGCTCATCGACGGTTCCTGCAGGTTCTGATGTCTAATGGGATAACAGAAGGATCAGAGGCCAGGAAATTACACCAGCACTGCTGTGAAACTGATAAAGGTATGTTTGTCCTGGTGATAAAAGAACTGGTTTTTTTTTTCCTGGTGCAGCTTACAAATAATTTGATTTCTGGAGGACATGCATGAGCTAAAAAAAGTTAAAAAACTGTAATGATATGAGTGTTCTCTCTCTCTTTCCTGAAAGATAAAATAATACAGTAATGAGTAAAGTAACTTCTAATCAGGCCAGATTTGTAGTACTTTTTATTTTATCAGGGTTGTTGTTTATAGGTTATACATATAAATGACTTGAAAAAAAAATTTTTGACACTGGAAGTACTTCACTATAGTGAATGCTTTTAAGTAAATGCACTTCAGTTATTTCTCCCATGTATTGTGGGAGAAGTGACTGCTGCAAAAACATTTTGGTGAGGATGAGATGAAGTTTCCTGGTGAATTGCTGTGCTTTCTTCCCACCTCACCTGCACTGGATTGTCAGTTCTGAGTCCTGGAATCTGTTCTCCTGCCAGGTTTAGGAGTGCTACGCCCCGTGCTGTGCCACCATGCTACTCACTCTACAGGGACTCTTCTGTTTTTCTGTGAATTTGTACCTACTTACCCATAGCTGTAAGGTCAGAACAAAGTAGTCTACGTGTGTGTTTCTTGAGTCAGGAACTGTAACTTTACATCTTAGATGCTAAAATTGTGAAGCACAACTTTTGATGTTCTTTAACCCCTATTAATTTTTTATTGAGAATTTTTATCCCTTTTTTTTTCTGTATACGATCTACTGGAACAGCCACTCATCTCACATTAAAATGTTATAGCTGTTGTACAAAAGAGTGTTCTGTTATCTTTCATGTTTTACCCTCTCTGAAATGGGTCACTAAAGCTCCTGTGCAGTGTGCAGTGTTTCCTGCTGACAGGAGCAAAGCAGGTGGCAAAATTATGCTTGAATATTGTACTTACTTTACTATCGTTCTTGGTGTTTGTTGGCTTTGTTCACTGAAGGGAATCTTGTATATCTGAGTCAGGAACTCCTGAGCAGGAGCATCCTATGAGTGCAGTTTGGCATTGTGCTGTAGTGCCGTGGGGTTTGGGTGTGGGATCTTGACCCAATGCTGTTAGATGAGCGAGGGACTTCTGTGACTGAAAACAGGATTAATTTCATGATAACTGATTGTATTTTTGAGACATGAATCATTTATCTAAAAGTATGAGCTGTTACTTAGTTCTGGTTTTTAAACCATAGCCTGATGAAGGCAACAGGAGTGATAAAATTGACAAAATCTTGTTTTGGATGGATGTGAGAGTTGTGTGATGCTGTGCAGGCAAGAACCATTATATGCTCTTCCACAGAATGACTGCAAAGTCCATCTTAATTGTGTCTATGATTAAACTGCTGCTAGTATTTGTTTCGTTTGTAGAATGTGACTCAAGATATTTCTTGTGTTTCTACAATGCTAGAATTTTTGGTTTTCTGATATGTAACTTGATCACTTATATGCCATTAATTTGTGAAACAGCATACAGAAACAAGAAATCCCACGTGTATAAAGGAATCCAAGTCAGTGTTTTTTCCTATTGTGCATAGTATTTTTTCCCAGTCATATTTTATTTTCAATTCAGCTTAGTTCAATTCACTGTAATTACTGGATTAGTGCCGTGGGTTCCCTGCAACAAGACAGAATGTCTGGACTCTGTCAACTGATTTTAGAGGAGCTGAGCATTTCTGAAGGCCACGAGACAGCAGCAGAAGGAAATTATATGTCTGCTGAATAGAACAGTTTGAATTCATGTTTGAATTCTGCCTCACAGTTTCAGCACTTTTACCTGGGAAAAAGTGTTTCACATAAAAAGATCTGCCTGATGTGTAGTTGTTTGACTTTTCTCTCTATGTGTTTTTTCTCATTCATTTCCAGTTTACTACGCACATGATAAACTGGATGATTTCATCAGCACTATTAATAGCCACCTGCAGCCTTTGTTTATGCAGATCCGGAAAGGAATATCGGAAGACAATGGGAGAGCACATTATGCTGTAGTATGTACCTCCTGTGCTGTGTTTGTGTGGGGCTGGCAGTGGATGCAGGAGGATAAACTGTCACAACTCAGGTGTGTGGGAATAGGACATTGTAGCAAGGATGAAAGCAGTGTTGGAGTTACTTAGCATAAACATTGCTTAAGTGCTGAAGTGAGATTCCTTTTCCACAGGAGACTTTCTTTCCTGAGAAAGATTTTTAAACTAGAAAACACAGAGAGCTGTCCAACATATTTTTCTTTCTCTCCCACTCAAAAATCAACCTAGCACAAAAGGATTGCTGAGGAGTGGCCTATAAGTTGTTTCCCCAGATGATCTGCAATGTGCATGTCAGAGAAGCTTAGTAATTTCAAAAGACCAGATGCATACAGGATGTATTAACATTAGCTGCTGCTTTTAACTTTTCCTTTTGCCAGTTAAATTGAGCTAATAATTATTAGTAGTAGCATGTGCAATAACAGTAGAATAGATGGGCAACTGGTTTTCACAGTGGAAAAAACGGTGACTGATAATATAGTTCCAGTTGCTGTCTAGCACCAGAACTGTCTAGCACCTGTGATGTGTCAGCTCGGCTGCAGCACTCTCTGTCAGTTCTGGGAGCTTGGATTATGGAATGGCTTTGCCTGGGCAGAGGCAGCTGTAGAGAATTTGTGGCTGGAAGATGAGGGGTTGTAAAGAAAGAACTTGAATACCATCAAGCGCCCCTCAAAGAACTAACATTTATGTTAATTGTAAGATGATGTATTCTTAACCTCAAGGGTTTTTTTATAGTTTCTGGTATGAAACCACATAGGCACTTTATATCAGTTTATTTTTTATAGGTGAATTTGGCGGAAACTGAAGTAACTAAAATGGCATCTGACTATACAGAAATTGAATTGGAATTGTTCAGAAAAACAGTAAGTATGTCAGTTATCACTTAGTAAATCATATTATTTCTTAAGGTATCATCTTAAAATGAATGAAAATGGAAATGGAGATGTGGTTGAGGAAGTAGTTCCCATTTTACCTAAGTTTATCTGAGATCAAATGGGTGGGGTGGGCAGGGAGGAAAGTAAGTGTAAGTAATGATTTGCTGTTTTAAGTCAGTTATGGGTAAGGTAGATAAGCACCAGGGAAGGACTTCTTGAGGTTTGGGACTTTACACATCTTCTTTTAGTTACACAAACAACTTTCTTCAGGATTTTCCGTCAAGATTGCCAAGTTTTTCACTGGCTTCAGTAGTTTAGTAATATACAATAGTTTTTAATGCCAGTAACATACCAAATGAATTTGCTAATTTGCATATAAACGTTTGTCATTGTTGACATTACTGTAAGGTGTGTCTGCCTAATTGCAGGGTTTCTAATACTTGGTAATGTTTCTTCTGGTAGATGGACCTAATAATTTTATCAGAAAATGGCTTTGCCTCATCTACAGATATTTTAAACTTGGCTGACCAACTTAAGACAAGGAAAATGAAGAAAAAGGAAGCAGAACAAGCGCTGAAAGTTTTTGTGGAGGATAAGTGGTTGTCTGAGGTAACTGCATTCAAATGTTCATAGTTCAATGGATCCAGTTATCATGTCCTTATGGATGTGGTAGCTGAGACTGGAGCTTTTCTTGAATGAATGAATGAAAGATGGCAAAAATGGTCTTATGGGGCCATGCTTATTGCTGCTTCAGTGATTTTTGCAGAAAAGGAAGTAGACTTACAAGGAAAAAGTCCTTGGGTAGGTCTGTACAGGACCATATGGTTTCAGTTTCTTGTACCTGAGCCAGGTGGGTTTGTGTGTCTAGTCCTGCCCAGTGACACGCAGGCATCCTTTGTACACAACAGCACAGCATCCTTCAACCTGGAACAAGAGCTGGGGAAAGCTTTTCAGAGTGATCAGTGCCTTTAGTTGCATTTAGAATTTCCTGAAAAGGAGCAAGGCCAGACATGTTGAAAACTCCTGTACCAGAAATGCATGGGCCACTGTGCACATGGTTACACCTGTTTTGTTCTATGAAGGAGCAGTGGAGATGAGCTCACCATGTGGACACTGCAGTTGCTTCCCAAGGAAGACTGTAATCCCTTTTCTGCTGGAGTCATTGCATCATAGATCTTCAACCTGCTGCCACACCGTTACTTACATGTTAAGTTGATTTGGCAGGTATTTCCAAAGACACATCAAGCAGGAAATGCCGAGATTTTGTTTAAAGCAGGGAGAATTTTCTCTAACCTATAATGGAGGATCCCAAAACAGCATGCCTCTATTAAGGAACTTAATAGGAGCTTGCTCATCTATGCTTTCTAAGGACTAGATCTCTGTTAGAGGTGTGGGATTTTTATTCTGTTCCTCTAAACAAAGGAGTTCTGCTATTTCAAAGGTGTTCTGACATTGCATTGTACCAGCATGTTGGTTTCATGATGGTATAAAAAAGTGGCTTGTTAACAAGTGGTTAGCACAGTCAGAAAAGGTAGAAGGATTTAAAAGAAATTCCTCATTTCAACACTTGTTTCTTTAGAAAAATGGAGAATATACTCTGCATACTCGGTGCATAATTGAGATGGAACAGTACATTCTCAGCAACTACCAGGACGTGGCAAGGAAATGTAACATCTGTCACAGCCTCGCCATCCAGGTAACATGTCACCTCAGCCAATGGACTTGTATGGTCATAGCTGAGGTTTCTGATGCTTTCCTGTGGGTATAAACTTGGTCTTTTAATCTGGTCATGGTGCTCATGCATTTTGTAAAAAAAACCTTTTTTTTTATTATTTTTTTTATTTTAGGCATTTTATCTTCTGTCTTCTGTCTTAGAAATAAAACTGCCTTGGAGCAGTGTCTCCAATTATAAAATTGGAAAAGTGCACTCCTGCAGTGAGGAACATGTTTGTGCTGTCTGGCTTTCCAAACCAGCATATTAGAGATGAACTCCTGATGCTGAAAGAGGTTTAGCAGTGAGGTGTTACCAGTGTCCTCTCTGGGCCTTGCCAATAGACATCATCACGTGACACATTCATTCTTGGTCCTGGGATTTTAATTCAGGAATTGCTTATGTTTGGACCTCAGAAGGAACATGAGTGCTAGTAGAGCATGCTAAAGCACTGTGTTTTGATAGCTGGGACGTTTCTGGTTCCATCTTGCCTAAGTAGTTACAGCTTGGATTTTCCAAAACTGCTGTGTTTTCTTGCACTGTGAGCCTGCATCTTCTGATTTGCCCAACTAACATGCTTCCACATTATTTTTTCCATCCCAGTCAGTCTCCTTTATTGCACTGAAATTGCTGTCTTTCAAGCTAAATGTTGTCTATATAGGTAAACAGTATTTCCTAGTTTACATAAAAGTACCTCCTTTTACCATTTACCAGCTTCGACTGTTGCGTGTGTCTACCACCCATATTGTGGGAACCATTCTTTGGAACAAAGTGTTGCGTATTTGCTGCTCTTTGTAACAACTTTCTCTTAAATTGAAGGACAGTTTAAAAAGATTTTATGAATCAACACTCCTGATTTCAGAGCCAAGTATGTGAATCCTGTGGAATTGGAATGCACTTACCTTGTGTCAGAAAGTACTTCAGAGGCCAGACTGAACCCCGCTGTCCCAAGTGTAATGAATTCTGGTCTTGTGACACCCCAGGTACCAAGCAATGTATTTTTAAAAAAACCGAATGTAATAATACTAGGAAATGGGCTGTGATGTTCAGTGGCACTGCCTGTATTATTCATAACTGTATTAGCTATTTCTGACTTCAGTGGTACATTTCAGACACTAAATCACACACAGACAGCACTGAGCTCCCAGAGTGCCCAAAAAGTGCCACAGGGGTATAGTAGACCCCCTGTATATTTTTTTATAACAATCTTTATGAGATGGGGGGGGAAGTGGGGAAGGGATAGAAGCACACACAACCCATGAAACTAAAACTTCTGGAAATACCGAGCTTCTAAGAATCTCTTTGGAATTCCTCCATTGTCCAGAGAAATTGGACATTGTGAACAGCAACAGAGGAATATACAAAGCATTTTAGAAAAGGAGGTTATACAATATTATCTTTTTTTTGTGTGTTGTCCATTAACCTTCCTTTGGTTTTCTTTACAGGTGTGAGTCGGATGGGCTCACCACAGAGCTCCACTCTTGGTGCTAGATGATGCCAGTAAAACTTGATGTCAGTGACATCTCTTTGCCGCCACTCTGGCAGAATAGCCAGACTTTATTGTATTCAATTAGTAACAGTGCTCAGTGTACCCATTTTCTAAAGTTCTAAGAATCTTAAAATAAAACTATTATTGACGTTCCTGTTCACAGTAATGCTTGCACCGCTTTCTTGAAAGCTGTTTTCTGTTTGTGATTCTCCATATTCTTGGGTTGGGACTCCCAGTGCATGTTTGGGGATGAAACATGCAAATGTTTTAGTCGGTCCTGCAAGCTGGTATATACAGCTGAACTCTTGAAAAAAGCCTTTCTCAGCAAGTGCTCCCTGTTTGTACAGGGACAGTACAAATTCAGTTGCGCAATGGAAATGACACCTGCTGTAGCATGTCAAGCAGGTGAAAAATCAGAGCAATATGTGCAAGGCAGCTGGCTGAGTCTCTGACCTAGGGCTGGAGTTGGAACACTTCTAATTGGTTCTGTAGCTGTGTTTTGTCCATTCTATAGATGCAAAAGAATTTGTCTTGACGTAAGGCCAGGTCACAAGCAGCTGTGAGGGAATATTGCCACAGAAGGACTGGGAAGCAGTATGACTGGACTTGGAGCAATGTTAGCTTATGTCTGTGAAGTGCTGAAAAAATTACCATATTGAAATTCTTTAGGTTTTTAGTCCTGGCACTTCTAACCCCAGTTTTAAGTAAGGATGCTTTTTCCTTTAAGAGTGACTTGGAAAGGAGCTAAGGACTGGCTATTGCCCCACCCCAGACTGAAATGGCAGCGTTTTTGTCGTTGATAGAGATGTGTGATGCTGCAGAAAGGTGGCGACAGCAGTTCAGGTGATGGTTAATCAAAGCATAATTAAACTTCAGGTTATCTAACTGCAATTAAACTATGGGTTAACTTCAGTTAACTGCCATGTTCTAGGCTTTAACGTGATGATGTGCTTTAGGAATGGTACTCTCCAAATCAGTGTTTGCACCAAAACGCTCCAAACCATGAGATGCTTGCTCACTCTCTCCTCCCCGTACTTCTCCCCTCACAGACAGGAGAATTGGGAGGCCCAAAAGATCAAGATCATGAGTTGCAATAAGAACAATTTACTGGAAACAGCAAAGGAGTAAGAAAATGAGCAGTCATAGCAACAATATCAATAACAAAGTGTACAAGAGATACAAAAGATTCACACAAAAAGATTCATACATACAATCACTAAGAGACCAAGGAGCCCCTTCCTGCCCCTGGCCTGCATAGGTGGCAGGCTGAGGTGGTACAGAGGAGCCTCTGGGTCTGGGCCATGCCCCTCCTGGCTGCAGAAATTAACCCTATCCTGGCCAGACCAGGACATAAGTAACTTTTTCCATGCAGGAGACTAGTACCTTGCTTGGTGTTAGCTTAATTTTTTAATGAATTGAACGTTTAGGTAGCACCATCTCTGTAGCTAACTCCAGGGTTTAGTGTTTCTAAATCCAAATAGAGAGAGATAGAGAGGCTCAGGCAGAGCCCTGGTAGTGCCTGTACACAGGCTGTTTCTGAGGGATGCGCACACAGGACCTAACACATGGTCTTTAGGAGTTACTAGAAACATACAAAAATGACATGGCTACAGCATACTCTTTCCACTTACCCATTGTGACTACTTCTCCATGCTTTAGCAAGAGTTTGTTGGTTTTTGGTTTTACTCCACCTCTAACCTCTCCTGAGAGAGAGGTGCTACTTCCCTGATTTTTAATTCCCTTTTCAGTGCTGCTGACTACATTTCAGAGCTATGACCACCAGAAACTAACGGAGAAACTGAGCTCAAGCGATCGCACATAGTGCCAATATTTAACTGGAATAAACAGAATCTGTCCAGGCATCAGAATGCAGGACTGAAATGCAGCCTTTTTGAAATTTGGAAATTTGACCAAGTCTGGATCTTCTACATCAACCTATAAAAAACCAAACAATCATCAGAAGACTGTCTTTACTCAAATATGATTTGATAACATTACTGATATTAAAATTTCAGGCAACTATTTACCTGACTAGTGTTGTGAAGAATTTGGCTTTCATGGGGGTACAGGTTTTCTGAATCTTGTGGTGAGTAGAGACGGATATACTTTCTTCCAAATACCTGTATACAATAAAATTTTTCCAATGGTCATTAACTGGCACGTTACTGGAAGCTGTGGGCCATAGCTGGCATTTAACAGTACAATTACATGATTACAAGGAACATAATTATCTTTGTTAGTAATAGATACTGCTATAATAAAAAGTTAAATCAGGCTATAGGAATTTAAGTACCTCTTCCCTTGGAGCAGATAAGAATGAAATACCTTTGGGAAGGAAATGCCTTTAACCAGATTGCTTTCAATTAAAAGTTTAAAGCACCCAGTTTATACATCATTATTTAGGCTCAAAATTAGCTAGAAATAAGAACTGAGAATAAGGAGGCTGAACCTTCATTGCAATTTACATTAACAGGCAGAGGTACTTGCAGAGTGACTGCTAAGCTTCCATATACCACTCAAACTCTTACTTTTTGCATTAAAACAGTTCCTTCATTGGAGTGCTGAAATGAGAATTTTTAAGGTGAGTGGCCTGGCTTCCCTGAACACTACATGTTCATTACATGAACACCAAGTTTTGGTGCCAGGATGTAGCAGCATGAACGAGTCAAAGCTGACTCCTCCACTGATACCAGTGGAACAAAGGTTTAGGGTGAAGATTCATATGGCTTGTGCTGGCATTCCAGACCACTGCAAGAGCTAGACATGATTATACTTGGGAACTGTCCTGTTATGGGTACTCTGACTAATCCCAGCACCATTCCTAACCAACCTGCTTTTCCTTTATCTTAGCATCCACATAATAGAACAGGATTTCCTGAAATCTTACCAATATCAAAGCTGTCATACTGGCTATTTAGTTTGTTGCTTCAAGGACAGCACATAAATGTATTCTACAGATTGGAAAAGTACCAAGTACTCTTGCCCTGTCCTACTCTTCACTACCACTGAGTAAACTAGTAGAGCATTGATCTGTATAACTGGCTGTCCATGTGTTTTTAGGATGTCTTCCATGTCCCAATGCCCAATGAGCTTAAGGATCTTAATTAGCTTACTAAAGAACTAAGTATTACATGGTATTTTTGGTGACATATGGAAGTGATGAAAATGCTGGTTATTGCTCCAACAGCACATTCTGTGAATGCATGAAATGTTTCTGGGACTGCCATCAGCTGCTAACAGCTCCTTCCTGCACTTGCCTCACTGGATTAAGGCCTTGTATATTATAAGACTCCGGGCACCAGTTAATGAGCAATAGCCTCCATCTCCAGAGACTACTTTTCTCATTAATGGAAAAACTACGATCTCACCACCAGCCAGCATAATTTCATTTTGTTACTTATGCTTGTGCCTTCCTGTACTTCACATCCACAGTTTAAATGGCATCACAAAGCAGGACAATTTTAATTGAAAACTGCCAGATCACCAGCTGTTCAAATTACAAAGACTCTTTCACACCACTGGCAGATAATCCCATTTTTTAGGCAGAAGAAAACAAGTTCTGAGGTTAGTAAGGAAAGTATCTTTTCCCAGTCCAACAGCTCCTGTACATTTTTCTTCCACAAAAAAAAATCCCCTCAAAGTTTACACAGCATGAATAGTTCAGTACTTCACTTTCAGAATGCAGCTGTATGTGTGTGCCAAGCAGGTAGCATGCAAAAGAAATACAATCCATACAGAGCTGCACAGCAGTTGTAAAAAAAACATCATAGGAAGGCCTGAATTAAGCCTAAATTTCCAGTGAAAACACAGGTTAGCAAGATGCAACTGGGACAGAGAAACTAAAGCTCAACCCATAAATAACCCATAAATAACCATCAGTAGAAAGTAATGTCACAGTCCTGCTGGAAAACTGTGTAAGCCTATTAGTTTTTTTTTAAGAATCTGAAGGACAGCAATCTCCTTCAGTTAACACCTCTCAGTGTTTGAAGATCCACAGTAGTCAACTTGGATCCAGAAGACATCCCTGGACCTGTTCAGTGCTTACCACAAAAGGCCCCAATATTTTATTGGGTTATTCTGCACCAGAAGTCATCATCAAAAAGATATCAAGTTTTAATTCCTATCTTACTGCATGCATTAATATTTTACTGGGTAACCTCAAATGGACTAAAGTATGCACCTAAGTCCACCTCAAAACTTTGCTTTCCAGATGTGCTGGCTTTGGCTGGGGTAGAGTTAATTTTCTCCAGAGTGGCTGGTATAGGATTATGTTTTGGATTTGTACTGAACACAGGGTTGATAATATAGAGATGTTTTTCTTATTGCTGAGCAGGATTTACAAAGACCTGAAGCCTTTTCTGCTTATCATACTGCCACGTTGGCAAGGAAGTTGGGGGTGACTGAGACTGGGAGAAGACACAACCAGGACAGGTGACCCAGACTGACTGACCAAAGGATATTCCACACTGTATGACATCATGCTCAGGATATGGGGGAAGAAGAAGAAGGAGAAAGGGGAGGTTTTTGGAGTGATGATGTTTGTCTTCCCCTGTAATTGTTAAGCATGATGGACTCTGCTCTCCTGGGAATGACTGAACACCTGCCTGCCCATGGGAAGCAGTCAAGTAATTCTTTGTTTTGCTTTGCTTACATGCACAGTTTTTGCTTATTAAACCTCAATCCACAAGTTTTCTAGCTTTAGCTCTCCCCATTCTCTCCCTTATCCTGCTGTTTGGGAGATGAGAAAGCAGCTGAGGCTTGAGGCTTGGGGATTGGCTGGGTTCAAACCATGATACAAGAAAAAGAAACTCCTTAGTACATTACAGGATCCAGATTGTTCCCAACTCTGTGGCAAATCCCATGTGACCTTGGAAAAGCTGCTTCTTGTGATTTCTATCTATCATCTGTAAAACAAGGGTAAATAACGGTCTTGCTCAATGAGCAACACTTGTGGTCTATAAGATTACATTCAGAATTAAGTTGCAGTAGTGACAAATGCAATAAAATAGCAAAATAGTATCTGCATCTTCTCTATCCTTTGATTGTTCCTCAAGCTGTCTGCTCTCCTTGTCTCTAATACATACCATACCATTTTCTGTAAGTATTGCTTTAATGGCATGTGTAAAGTACATACCTGGGCTAAAAAATTTTGCTGGGGATCCTGATGAAGAGGTGAGATTGTACCTCCTGGACCAAACCAAGCATTAATGGTGATGTCATCTTCTTCTCCTTCCCCCAAGCAGCAGTAGTCAGGGATACTGATATCTTCTTTAAGTTCTGGGATCTACTTCCATGAAGAAAGAAACATTAAAAAGAGCACGTGTTGACTTGCCAAAATATGTAATTCATAGAACAGATGAGCAAGGCTGGACACAAAGAAAACAAATGCCTGGCTGGTCCAGCAAGTGTAGGAGACAAGTAGCTGACCTGCTAGGAATCTGCAGGAAATGTTCTCAAACTTTCTGTTCTAGTGAGCAGACTCTGTTGGAAGGAGAAGCGGGAGAAAGAAAGGGGTTTCCTCATTCTTCAGAGACCCTATGCTTTTGCAGAAATCAGAGATACCCACAATAATAAGTATGTTTTCTCTTCATTGAAAAGGAGCAGCTGATCTCTTCTATACTATGCTTGCTTCTCTGTGAGCTATCTTTTTATGCCTCCCACCAACGTAAGCTCTCGTAGACTGGAATGACATTTCAGATTATGGTAAACATATCAATGCAGAAGACTTTCCTGTCCAAATCTCTTCCCTGACTTATGAAATGGGCTTTCCAGGTGATATCCCCTAAGTATATGCTACATTGTACTGAAACAGTGCTAGGATTGAATGTCTTCATCCCAAAAGGATTTTTTTACTATGTCTTGCAGCCGAATGGAACAAACCTTTCCCTCTGTTCCTTCAAATCATGGGAATAGAAACTTAAGAATTACTCTGAATTCTCCATGTACCCTTCAATCTAGTACAGTCAACATCCTCAGAGACAACTTGTGCTACAAAAGGAACACGACTGTAGGGAGATAAAAATATTCACTCAGTTTTACCTGATCAAAAAGCTGGTGCTGGGCAAGGTATCCTACATTGTTCTGAAATGATAGCAGAGAAAGAAAACACAGTAACATACAGGAAAGACAGTGAGTTAATTTACTTACAGGTGAATAGAATTTACATATAGGTAACATCCATTTCCAGTGTCCTATTCAGAGTACTGTAAGTATTTCAACAGTATAAGGGGTCTTCAGAAACTTACAGCTCCATTGAAATTGTGACAGTGTAGGTGTGTCTCCACAATCTATAAATCATCCAGCTTGAGTTACTGAAGGAAGCTGGGACTCCCTGTGGAGTATTGACAGCTGACAATGCACGGCATCTTTCTAGCCAGACCCTGCTGGCACACAGACCAGTTCTCCCTTATGCCCTGGAACTACTTCCATACTGTATTCCAGGGTGCACCACAGATCAGTTTGCTATGGCACATGGTCCTTCCTGCCAGAAGGTCAGGAAACAGAAATGGGGGCTTGGGATCTTCATCTGTGAAAGCAAAAGGACATTCCAGATGCTAATCAACTTCGTACTTTTCTGCCTCATGGCAAGTAAATTTGGATCTGACCCTAAATCTCACTAAGCAGTTTAATGAGAAAGAGGAACAACACTGCTGGCTGATGATCCCTTATTCTTAGATTCCACCAGTCAGATTTTTGCTCCATATGTATATATGAATGTGCATATGTATTCATCAAATTCCAGCTATTGTACATTTGATTACAGGTAAAAATTAAACCTATTGTTGCAATAATTATTCCCAGCTTCAGGTCTTGAAAATACGTCAAACCTTTTAATTCAGAGCTTGTGCTTACAGCACACCCCCTCGAGTGTCTGTCCCTTGCTGTGTCTGGAAATGAAACAAATGAGTGTAACAGACCTCATCCATGATATACTGGCTGATGAAGTCACTGACAGTCATGAGCTGCTGAGACCATTCCTCATCTGTGTACCGAACACCCAACTCCACAGGGACTGTGCGGCACCCTGCGACTTGACAGAAGTAGTCCACACTGGAAAAAAAAAAGTTCCATTACCTTCTATACTGCTCTTACTAATTTTGAATGTAAGGCAATCAATCTAAAACAGTCTTGTTGAGTAATAAAATTCTACTACCCTGAGTTTCTCCTTTGGTCTAAACCAAACCAATCAGAAGAAAAAGGCAGAAGAAAAGAATGCAAGCAACAAGGAAATCACCAGGCAGGTTTGTGTGTTCATGACCTCACAACTATCTTTTGTTTTGGTTTAAAAGCCTGTTTGCTTCAGTTGTTTCCTCGCAAACTATGAAGATTTAAGCTGTTACTATCTCTTGGCAAGGGATGGCAAACATTTTTGCTGCCTGCTGCCACATTTGATAAAATGTTGTATCTTTTATTCAGTAATATTAGATCAACTCTCTGTCAGTGTCAATACAGGTGCCAATAACACCCATTCCAATTGTTTTAGTTTGATGGGTGAAATACATCTCTCCATGGACAATGGTATTAAATGGAGAAGTTAATATTTTTAAGTGTCTAAAGTTAACCAGTGCAGTACCTTCCCTCAAAAATTAATAAAATCCCTATGTCAAAACAAGTGTGTCCACTTAATTTTACCTTTGGTTGTTGAACTAAAGCAATTACCCAAACTAAGCATGAGTGATTTTACCCCTTTTCTAGGGAATCATGACCTTTACCTCACAAATACTTGATGCTCAGTATTAGATACGTGGGCACCATTGTGTGTATTGATCAAGAAGCACAATGCTGTTATTCACTCCTGCACAGTGGTCTCTGAAACTCAACACTCAAACACAACACTGAACAAACATCAGTGCTTGGATTTATGAATGAAAACGTCAACAATGCTTACTCATGGCTCTGAAATTCACTTTCCATTGCACTAATTATCAGCAAGTTCCAACGCGTAAAAGCCACCGATGTGTGCATGACACAGATCCACCGAGCTGTGAGCAGCCCACTGGCACTTTGCAATGTGCACTTCTCATGAGCTCCCAGGTGTTGCCATTGGGCTCCTGGGACAGCTGAAGGCTGGGCAGAGGGTGGCCTTCACCCAGAAAGAGCCAGAGGCTGGTCAAAGGGTCACCTTTGCCCTGACACACTCCAGCACCTGCTGTGATACCCTGAATGCTATGAAGAGCTTCTCTCATCTATGAAGGAACTTCCGCAGAACAGTAAGACACCGCTGCTAGGAAAATACACTGCCCACGGTATCCATCCTCTGTGAAGGTCTGTGCTGCTCTATCGAGCATCAAGATATCCAACTCAGGGAACGATCGTGACTTTACTTGGACAGGGAAGGAACTTTGCTTCTCACCTCCACTTCTTCATACACGGCCAGTGGTCCATGACGCCCTCCAGAACCACGGGCCGCTGGGGAATGAGGTAGCAGTCCCTGAAGCGCTCCAGCGAAGGACAGCGAAGGTGCGGAATCACCTCCTGCGGCTGCAGCGCAGGAGGCGGCGGCTGCAGCCGGACCCTCTGGAACGGACGCTCCCTCAGCAGCCGGCACGGCCCCGCGCGGGGAGCGCGAGGAAGGCCGGGCCGCGAGGGGGGCTGGGGGGGTGCGGGGCGCTACCTCGGCGCGAGCTCCGCCGCCCGGCGCCGCGCGGGGCAGGTGCGGCTGCAGCGCGCGCGCCAGGCGCGACAGGACGTTGTCCAGGACGGCGGCGCCCATCAGCAGCCCCAGGTCGCAGAGCCGCACGGCGCGCGCGAGCGGGCGGCCCGCGGCCACCTCAGCCAGCGCCCCGAAGAGGCAGCCGTAGGCGTAGACCTGGCGCCAGGCCTTGCTGACTTCCCTCCACGGCACCGCGTTCAGCTTCTCCCAGGAATAGTCGCGCAGGACGTCGCTGAGGCGCTCCAGCGCCGCTGCCGCTCCGGCCCCGGGCCGGCCCGCCGCGCCGTAGAGCAGCGTGCGGGCCCGCAGCAGCAGCGGCGGGACGCAGTCCTCCACCTCGCCGCTCAGCGCCAAGGTCAGCCCCTCCTCGGCGCGGGGCAGCAGCGCCCGCACCTCGGCCCACACCGCGGGGCTGTCGCTCGCGCTCTCCGCGCTGCCGCTCGCCGCCATGGCCGCGCCTTCGCCGACGTCCGCGAGGAGGCGCTGTCGGGCCGGGCCGGACGCTGGGGCGGGGGCTCGGGCTGGGGCTGACGGGCCGGGCCTGGCTGTGCCGGGGGAGGGCCGTGCTGCTCGTGCGGGGGGCGGGCCGTGCTGCTCGTGCCGGGGGCGGAGCTTCTCCCGTAGCGGGGAAGCTCGCGCTCGGTGTTGTTACCCGTGCGCGTTGATGATCGGCGCTGTTTTCGCAGTAAAGGGGAGCGCACAGACGCGGTGAAGGTCACGGTCACCGCTCTGGCCGTTCACTCGGGGCCAGCGTGCGGAGGTGGCTGCCTGCGCTGTGGACGGCGGAGCGCAGGCGGTGGCTGCTGCGGGAAGGGGAGATGCGCTCTTCCCAGCTGACCTTTTGTGCTGCAAGGAAACGTCTCTGCCCGGCCCCGGCGTGCGCTCGAGGAGCTGGAGCGGAGCCCAGCGCGGCTCTGAGCCCATGTCCTCCCGCTGGCTCAGCTGTTTGCTGTTAATCTGCACACAGGACCTGCTTTCTGCATGGGATATGTACAAAAGTCTTCTAACGCGCTGGGCACAACATCACTGAGCCCCAAACTGCTTTGATAACGTGCCCTGAACGTTCTCAAGACTTAGTACTTGACAGCAAACGTAAAACAATATTGTATTTAAAATTCAGCACTGAGGAATGTTTTAACATGGTGAACCAAGCTCTAAACCACCATAACAGGAAATGACGAATGTTTAGCTCCTAGTTAGGGTCAAAATCTTCAGATTTGCGACAAATCCTAATTTACAGTAAAGGTTAAAATAATTGTTTTCTGTGCTGAGACACATGTTTACACAGAATCACACAGAATCATTAGGTTGGAAGAGACCTTCAAGATCACTGACTCCAACCGATGCCCTAACACCTCAACTAAACCCTGGCACTGAGTGCCATATCCAGTCGTTTTTTAAACACATCCAGGGATGGTGACTCCACCACGTCCCCAGGCAGACTATTCCAGTATTTTATTACTCTTTCCATGAAGAACTTTTTCCTAATGTCCAACCTAAATTTCCCTTGGCACAACTTGAGACTGTGTTCTCTCGTTGTCTCGGTTGCTGTCTGGTGAAAGAGACGGACTCAGTCACTAGTGCTTTCCAAAAATGGACAAAAAGTTGATGTGAGCTCGTTCTATTGCTTCTGGTGGTGGCTCTCCCCCTGCTCCCCATCTGTCTCCTCAAAATGATCACTACTGCTCTCACACTTCTCACACTTCAGACTTGTGCATTGCTTATCATGCATGGCCTGTTTCCTGTCTTCTGACTGCCTTTCTCTTGGCACCTTAAACTCCTCCTGTGACAATGTGATTTTAGCACCTTCATTCAGTCTTTTCTCCTTAACTGCTAAATGTTAATGTATGCTGCTGTAGGAGGAAGTATTTTAGCAGCAAGATTTTCTTGTTGGACCCTGTGTTCATTATTTGCAATTTAGTTTGCTAGCAAGGGTTGTTAGTCTTGTGTCTGTGGAGTGTCCACTTTTTGTAACCATTTTCATTAACTTTTATTTGCATTTAAGTTGGTTAATGCAATTCTCATTAAATAATAGTTTTTGTTGTTCAAATATGAGCAATATTTTCACAAGTTTCACTTTGAAGATTAGGATTTTCTCTTTCTGGAATTTCAAATAACAGCAAGGTCTGAACAAGCAATCTCCAGCACAGCAGTGAGGCATTGAGGCCATGATGAGCTTTATTAGTTTCATTTCAGGTGATTTTAGTTTTGCAGTATTCAGGGAGGCTCAGTGTTTCTCTGTGAGCATACGCTGGAAGACAGTTATTTCTAATCAAATTTGGTGCAATATTTTGAATTTTGATACAGCATCAATAGTCTTGAATCACAGAATCAGTTAGGTTAGAAAAGACCTTTGAGATCATCAAGTCCAGCCTACGACCTAAGGCCACCCTGTCACCTGGACCATGGCATTGAGTGCCACTTCCAGGCTTTTCTTTAACACCTCCAGGAACGGTGACTCCACCACCTCCCTGGGCAGCCCATTCCATTGCCCAGTCACTCCTGATGTGAAAAACTTCTTCCTAATGTCCAGCCTAAAACTTGCCTAGCACAACTTGAGACTGTGTCCTCTTGTCCTGTCACTGGTTGCCTGGAGCAAGAGACCAACCCCCATCTGGCTACAAACTCCTTTCAGGGAGTTGTCATTGCAGTTAAAGGGGCTATATATCTTCTGAACTAATAAAGCTCAGGTCTTAAGGTGCGTACTGACTCTTGTGTATTTGGCCTCTAGTCTCGGAGGAAAATCCACTAAAAGCTCATAATATCATGCTGCATCTTAACAACTTGGTTGAAATTTTCTTCATTGGGGAAAAAAAGCCAACAGATTAGCAAATACTGAATTGAGAAGTTTAGCTCTCAGAGCAATTAATCTTGCAATAATGCAAGCTAGTTTTGAAATACCTGTAAACTAATGCAGATGTTTTGTGTGAGCTGGCTGACCAAGGAAATAGACGACTTCAGTGCTAGACATTTCCATTTTAGGTCAAGAAGAGAGAATTTAATTCCTGCTGCCAAAGAACAGAGATTACTGTCATGTGTTTAACTTGCAGAAAGTGATGGGAAAAAGAGTTCCACGGATTATGCCACCATCACTGACGCTTGTGCTGTTTCCATCAGAAGTAAATTCTTCAAAGATTATGGAAAGCAGACTGCCTAGCCTTGTAGAAAGATGTCCCTTAAAGCACAGAAGAAAAGTTACTACCAAAATTTCCCCTGTTGTTTCCTGGGTTATAGTCTGTGCTTTTTGCTCTCTTTTATATTCTGTATATTTTTAAAATATGCTGCAGCCACCTCTCCTTCTCCTAGCACTGACTTTCAGGAAAAAAATATCTATTTAGAAAAACCCAAACAAACAGGCACACAATTAAGGGAGATAATGGAGCCTGATGAATCATCTGTACTTCTCTCTTCTGTTTATAGTCATACATTCCAGGACCCACAGTTGATGTTGATGTTGATGCTACCTTGTCTGCCACTTGTGAAAAAAAAAAAAAAAGCTCTGTATCTTATCTTGCATTTGTCTTCATTGAAAAAAGTAGGTATTTGGCCTGTCCCGAATTTAAATTTTTAAAAAATTTATTTATAGGAATATTCTCCTATATAGCACTCTTTCCTCATTAACTAATTTGAGTTAGTGAACAAAGTCCTATGATTGTTTTTGGATTTTATTAAAGTTAACCACTGAACACATACTCAGTGGTTTACCACTTAAGTCCAAAGTAGGTTGTTTGTATTAGGTGAATCAATTTTTAAAATGACGGCATCTGCTTACTTGTACACATATATTTATGATTCTTCCCTAGGTGAATGTAGCAGGAGTCTGTTGAGTAATAGCCAGCTGCTCGAATTAGCAGATAGAGAAAGTATTTATTTGTTCTGTGAAGGAGTGTGAAAGCTGAGGCATCAAAACAGATGCCCCAAATATCTAAGCACAAGTCAGGATGTGTAAATTGCTTGCAGTGCTTACTGGGAAAGTCATCTCAGATGGGTTGCCTTGTCTGGAGTTCTTGTTAAATGTGAAACCTTCTCCAGTGCAACATCATGTCTAGCAATTCAGAGCACAAGAAGTGACACTGAAGATTTTCTTAGGACTCCAGGCTGCTGCTCAGCTCCCCAGGAATGCCATGTCCCTTTTGGCAGCTTGGTACTTTGGAATTTGCACCCTCCTTAAACGGAGGATGGCAAGAAGATGGAGCCAGGCTCTTCTCAGTGATGCCCAGCAGTAGGAAAATAGGCAATGGGCAGAAACTGACCATGAGGAAGAGCTTCTTCACTTGTGTGGGTGAGATGCACTGAACAGATTGCCTGGAGAGGGTGAGCAAAGTCCCTTACTGGAGATATTCCAGAATGAGCTGGACATGATCCTGTGCCATGTGCTCTGGGGTGACCCTGCTTGAGCAGGGAGGTTGGACGGGATGACCCATCTGTGATCCCTTCCAAACGGAACCATTCTGTAATTCTGTACCAGGGAATTCTGTACCAGGGAATTCTGTACCAGGGAATGTTTCCTCATTTCTAGGGCTTTTGGAATGCCTGGGCATGTGCCTTCACAGGCCTTTGCAGCAGGTAAGTGCCTGTCAGTATTGACAATGTCCAGGATCAGAGATGAAGTGGTGACAGGCTGGTACTGCTGCTGTCCTGCCACCAGTGCTTAGGCTTTTTTTGCTTCCAGGAGTGGTTGACCGGTACCTCCCATGATATATATACACAATATGCACAATATACTCATTTAACATAGCCCCTGTGCCTCCCCACCCATGCAAAAAAAAAAAAAAAAGGTAAAAGTAAGTGAAAATGAAACCTAAGATGCCCTCTGGCACTTAAATGGGAATATAACCTGATGACTGCTATGAAAGCCATAGTTGGCTCTTATTTTCCTTTACAGGAAATGATAGTCTCTTCTGCAAGAACAAAAGTGTGAGCACATAAGACTTTAATGATTTTGGATGTCTTTCTGGGTTGCTTTTTTGTTCCTCTGAACAGGAGATGAATGATTCTGATTAAAATATGCACAGAATTAATTATTAAACATAATTTTCCTCAGATGAGCAAGGTTCCTGATTGAGAGTAACACAGCCATGTATTTTGATTGTATCTTGGAGTTGAGTGTAATTGTGCGGCGACAGTGTAATGACGGATATATCTTTATCAGCCTGTTCCCTGAACTGTGTTTTATCACTGCCATCTGCTTGGCCAAGAGTGGCAGCTGCCAGGTCTCACAAATAGTGCTGTCATGTACTTTCATATAGAACAACATATTGTTGTAATTTCCCTGATATTACTAGATGAAATAACTTTGAGATAAGGTGACATTTTGCATGGTGCTTTGGAATGCTTCTCATTGCTTTGGGTATAGGACACACAGTGTTCTTTCTGGAGCAAGCACATCCAGTTCTACTTTCAGGAATCACTGGAAAATACTTATTTTACAAAAACATTATGTAACATCC